TAAAATAGTTTTTCCTAATATTTAACCTAGACCTCCCCCACTGCAACTTTAAACCATTGCTCCTCATTCTGCCATCTGTCCCCACTGAAAACAGCCTCTCTCCATCCTCTTTGAAACCCCCCTTTAGGTGGTTAAAGGCTGCTGTTAAATCCCCCCTCACTCTTCTGCAGACTAAACAAGCCCAAATCCCTCAGCCTCTCCTGGTAAATCATGTGCTCCAGCCCCCTAATCTGGTGTAATATGGTGTGTTTTGTCTCTTATTTTTCCTCTGTCAGTTAATACAACAGGGTAATGATTGTTTGGCTTAATATTGTTGGATCATTTAATGGAATGGACGAGATACACCACATATTGTACAAGGCTTGTACCAAATGACATTAATAACTGTGGGTATGTCTACACTACCCTCCTAATTCGAACTAGGAGGGTAATGTAGGCATACCGCACTTGCAAATGAAGCCCGGGATTTGAATTTCCTGCGCTTTATTTGCATAAAGCCGGCCGGCGCCATTTTTAAATGCCGGCAGTTCGAACCCCGTGCCGTGTAACTACACGCGGCACGGGGTTCGAACTGCCGGCATTTAAAAATGGCGCCGGCCGGCTTTATGCAAATGAAGCCCGGGATTTGAATTTCCTGCGCTTTATTTGCATAAAGCCGGCCGGCGCCATTTTTAAATGCCGGCAGTTCGAACCCCGTGCCGTGTAACTACACGCGGCACGGAGTAGCTAGTTTGGATTAGGCTTCCTAATCCGAACTAGCTACCCCGTGCCGCGTGTAGTTACACGGCACGGGGTTCGAACTGCCGGGATTTAAAAATGGCGCTGGCCGGCTTTATGCAAATAAAGCCCAGGAAATTCAAATCCCGGGCTTCATTTGCAAGTGTGGTATGCCTACATTACCCTCCTAGTTCGAATTAGGAGGGTAGTGTAGACATACCCTCACTTCTTGAGTATTTTCCATTTTGTTAGAAATGCTTCATGGGCATCTGTACTAGGGTCATTATTCCCATGACCACTTGTTGGCTTATACTCAGCGCAATATTAAGCTGGTTTAACTACTGAAGTACCACCTGCTTTATACCAGGGCTGAATCTGTCCTAATCTGCTTTTTAAAGATGAACAGTGATCAGTGTTCTCTGTAAGACGGGCACTTGTGTGTCCACTCAGGAGATATTCAGATGCTGCCCAGTTGCTTGGCAGAGCACCTGCATTTCAGTTTTATTTCTACTGGTGGTGCACATTCACATATACCTTGGTGCACATTCGGGATATACAATCCCAGTTAATCAGTTAACATTAAGCCAGCCTAATATTTTCACTAGTTAATTGACTAAGCAGGATTTGAGCTGGGGACTGCTCCAGCCCATGTGTGCGGTGGGCTGTGGCTCCTCGCAGGCAGACGCTGCTCTGGATGCAGGAGCAGTCCCTGCCTGTGGGGCAACAGGGCCTAGTCTGGTTAACTGGAACCGGTAAGCCAGTGGTCTCCAACCTTTTTAAGCACGAGATCACTTTTTGAATTTAAGTGCAATCCAATATCTACCTCAGACCCAAATACCCTAGACCCCTGCTCATTCCTTCCTCCCTCCCTTTCCCACCCTCCCTCACTTTCACCAGGTAAGGGCAGAGGGTCGGGGTGCAGGCTCTGGTCTTGGATTAAGGGATTTGAAGCGTAAGAGGGGCTGATCTTGGGGCAGGCAGTTGGAGTGCTGGAGGGGGTTCTAGGTGTAGGCTCAGGGAGGGCATTTGGAAGCTGGGTGCTTGGGGGTGGGGCAGGAGCTTGGAGCGTAGGAGCGGGTTCATGCCTGGGGTAAGGTTTCTGGATGTGGGCACCAGCTGGGCACTGCTTACTGCAAGTAGCTCCTGGGTGGTGGTGCAGTGGGGCAAAGACAGGCTCTCCCTTGTCCTGGCCCTCCACCATTCCCAAAAGCAGCCAGCAAACTCCATCCCAAGTCTTGTTGTGCCCTGCGTCTGCTCTGTGGAGATAGGATACAGAGTGCCCTGACATCAGAACTCCTCCTCTCCCTCCCCTGCCCTGCACAGAAAGCAGGAGGCTCCTGAGGAGATATCTCCAAGGCAAAGAGCAGGAGATGTGCAGCAGTCTGAGGACGGGGCAGCTGAAGTGTTGCGCTTGATGGCCTCTTGGCCAAACAAGTTAGGAGCACCTGTCAGAGGCTCCAAGATCTACCAGTAGATCCTTGGTGACCACTGCGGTAAGCATTACCCATTTAGGGTGATGCTCACTGGTTATCAAGCTAACTTTACATATCCCTAGTGCACATTAAAAAAAATTTCTGCACATGGATGAAAAAGATGAGGAAACATTGACAGTGACCCTTATCAGAAGATACTTAAGCATAAATCAGAGGCTATTTCTGCAACAGTACTTCTTTAAGTTAGCTTTTATGACGCCCTAGTCCTGCAAATACTTGTGTACTTTTAATTATATGTATCTGAATAATTATTTTGAAACCAGCCGTTGAAGTTATGCATTTATATAAGCATTAGGGTGCTAGATTGTAATCTCTGGGTTTGAAATGGATTTATTAATAAAGTACAGCATACATCCATGGCACTGTACAGACATCAATAAATATATACTGGACAATAAATTGGACTTTGGTAGCAGCTGATCTGGTTTAATTCAGTCTTCAACAGTGTTTTTAAGGCTTTCAGTATTCTCACATTGTATTCTGTTGCATGCAAAATAAAGATGATGATATCTTGTTTAACTACATGCTTTTGAACTTCTCTTTTCCAAACCACAGAAAGACCTGCAAGCCCAAAACTTTTACCTCCTCTACCTTGTCTCTTTAATGATTTATTTAAAACATTTTTATTGGAACATGATCTATTTCTGTGTCGTTTAATGGCTTCTTCTAAGGTTGGATAGTTTCACATAAAGTACTACGTAGATCTGTGAATACATCTATGGGTTACAGAATTTGATTTTTTAAAAATGTTTTTAATGGATAATACTGATTTTTTTTAAAAGCTTTTAAACATTTTGTTTGTTTGATTTAACATTTTCACAGTTGTGGGAAATTGGCGAGAGGTCAGACAATAATTATTTCCGAAGAGTATATGTTGAGATTCAAAATTTTAAAGCTTCATAAACATTAAAACACAAATGGTGAACATCATATGTCAGAATGTACCAAGTAAATTAAATATTCTTAAATCAAACTCATTTTCAAGCAGTATTTTTCTTATTTTCCTATCTATACATTTTGATTATCATTGATGGAAATAATGTTCTGTTTGTGTATACACAGTGAAATTGACATATACTGACAACATATTTATGTCAGTAAATGTCAATTTCACTCTGTATACACAAACAGAACATTAAAAAACAAACAAGCCCATTATTTAAATAAATAATGGACTTGTTTATTTTCAATAGACTCTAATTGGTTGCACTAGGGCAGTGTTTCTCAAACTGTGCTCCGCGGAGCCCCAGCGCTCCACGAGACATCTTCAGGGGCTCTGCGAGGTTGACAAACGGGAAACATCGATAGGTACAACACATACAATCAGTGGACCGCTGGGGCTCCGCATAAATTTTTATGCATGTAAAGGGTTCCAGAGCCCAAAAAGTTTGAGAACTGCTGTACTAGGGTGTTCTGAGTTCAGTAGATATGACACAATAAGGCCCTAAAGTGTTGTCAATAATAGGTTTTGGGGTTTGGGTTTTTTTAATGTTTAAACAACATCCACTGTTAATACCATGTTGTCCATGTGAGATAATGAACAAGGCTGAATAAATTAAAGCAACCTAGCCATTTAGACATATCACACATCAATGGAAGTGGGTTTTAGAATTAAGACGATTGGGGCTATTCAGATTGCTTGGAGCTATTTAGCTGTTTGTAGACATCAATTACATCCAGTTCACATTTTCAAGCTTTTCTTTCCTATCAGCAGGGCTAGAAACTTACTTTTAATGTGAAAACTGATTTCTTCATGTGACCCTTAAGAGCTGGACCTCATAATGCCTGTTCCTTAATTCAGCTCTGGTACTAACTGAGAGTATCACTACAGACTGGTGGCTAGTACATTAACAGCTGCATGGTATAGACCTGCTAACTGCAGTTGAAAATATTGAGTGCAGATAGGAAAAGATAATTAAAGCTGCAAAATCTTATTTACAGATATCCTCAACAAAAGAACAAGTGTTGAAATACACATCAGTTATTTCTTTAATAATGAGAGACACAGACAGACAGACACAATCAATTCCAGTAAGGCATCTTCTATCTCTTAGCCCGGGCATGTTCTAAATTAAATGTTTTTCAAAGGTTTCCATGAAGCAGCAAGCATAAGTTCTCTAAGTTAACCGCTTACATAAGGAAAAACTTGCTTGCCTGCAACAAGCTTTGTCCTATCAAATTCCCTTAACACAGTTAGATTTACAATAATGTTTGAGAAAAATACTATGTTGTCATACCCATTACCAGTAAATCCTATTTTTTGTAACTATAAAGGAGATTGAGTAGGGCTATCACATTTAAAACATTTTTCTTTATAAAAATAAAACATTAAGGCTATGTCTACACTAACTTTTTTGTTGGTAAAGTTTATGTTGCACAGGGGTGTAAAAACACACCCCTGATGGATACAGGTTACACTGACCAAAGCACCAGTGCAGACAGCACTATGTCAGTTGTAAGATGCTTGTTAGTGGTAGTTTAACTATATTTTCGGGGAGAACTCTCTCCTGTCAGCATAGACCAACTACATGGGAGATTTTAAAGCTGTGCAGCTGCATTGCTATTGAAGTGCCTCTGTAAGATCTCTAGTGTGGAGAATGTGTATGGGAATTTATATTATGACTGAGTCTTTTTTCTCTTTTTATAGTGAAAATACAGTCTCAACTCACCTACTGGACCCATTACATTTCTACAAATGTCATTAATCTAGCTTGTATTTAAAGACTGCAGAACAAAATGAAAGCATGATTAAGTTAGTAACGGTTATCATCTTTTCTCAATTGTTTCCAGGTAGTTTAAAAAAATGAAGATTTTCCCATAATGTCTCTCCAGGCAGGATCACTAACTAGCTACAATAGAACACAGGGCTTCAAACAGCTAAGTGCTCAAAAGGTAAGGAGAGAGATTCTTGTTTCCTATTCTTCTTCTTGTTCTTCTGAAATGATTGACTAGAAATAACTTATAGCATTTAGTTTAGTTGCAGTAGGTGCTAAATCCATAAATTGCTATTGGTTTCATGATGAACTTGGATTTTAAGCCCAACACAAATTGAAAACCAAATGTATTATTTATTTTATGAAAAACTAAAATTGGTTGTGATGAGTTGTTTTGATTAAAGTTGTGCACTCTACTATTGATAAGTTTGGCTCTTGACTGACTGATTTCTAAATAGTTAATGTACTTGTAAGAAATGTTGGGCTTGATAGTGCTAGTTTATAGTATATTTGCATGTGTTGGAGGGTATACAAATATGGCATGTTTGGAAATGTTAATTTTTAAAAATGTGGTGCCATTTTGTGAAAAAGGGACTAAAGCAAATAAGGTGTTTAACAGAATGTTTTCCTAACTTTGAGGTTATTGAATTCAAAAGATGTTAAGTATAACTTAATAGGTAGTTGTTCTCATTAGCTATTCTACAGCTAACATGGAAATATGTGAGTTTTGCTTTAGATACCTATTAGGATGTTAACCTGTACCCCAAGCAGCCCTGACCAGTGCCTCGTGCAGGGCAGCTGGGGGAAGGGAGGATGGGAGAAGAGGAAGAGGTTTCTGGCTTGCAGTCCAAACGGGTTTGAGTGCTGGGAGTCACCACATCACTGCGGCCTGCAGTCCCACCCTCCTTAGCCACTGGGCTCCCTCTCTCCCTCCGTCCCTCCCTTACCAGTGCTGAGGGCTGCATGGCCTCCCCGGTACTGGGGAAGGGGGCAGCAGCCACACGGCTTCCTCGGAGCGTTGTGGGGGATGGTTTGGGAGTTGTACCTCCTCCCCCTCATGAACGGGGAGGGGGGCAGGGAGCTGCAAGGCCTTCCCCCCCCCACAGCTGGAGGGAGAGAGCCAGGTCTGCTTCAGCTCAGCCCAACTCCCTGACGGCCGTGGGGAGTGGCGGGGGGGACGGGACTGAAGGGGGGGGAAGCAAAGAGGCAGGGGTGAGGCGGCAGGGGCAGCTGTGGCCTCTGGAGGCGTGAGGGAAGAACCAGGGCAGCCTCGGACCCGCCCTGGTGGCCAGCGGGGAATGAGCCAGGGCCATGGTGGCCTCGGTCCCAGGCCATCTGTGCCTGCTGGGGAAGAGCTGGGCCTGGCACAGCTTTGTCCCTGCATCTCCTGATGGCTAGGGAGAGAGCCAGAGCGGTGCTACCTCACCCTGGCCTCCCTCCCTGGCAGCTGGGGGGGGAGAAGCGAGGGCAGGGGGGCCCAAGAGCTGGGGTCCACTTGTGAGGAGAGGGCTGGGGGAAGAGGGGGCGAAGAGCACGGGGCCTACAAGGCCACTCTCGCCCCTGGTGACCAGAGGGAAAGAACTGGGCCAGCCTTGGGCCAGCCCAGCCTCCCAGTGAGAGGTAGCCAGGACTGGACTGGCCTCGGAGGTCCTGGCGGCTCAGGGAGGGGAGAGAGTTGGTGCAGGCCAGTCCTGCCAACCTTGGCCTGACCCTCCCTGACAGCCAGGGGGAGCTGGGGCTTCCTACCCCCTGAGATAAGGGGTTGGCGAGCGTAGTGAGCAGGGGGCACTGGTTCCTAGTTAGCTTACAAAAATCACTGTTCCTCTTTCTTAACACTTTGGCTGTTATGCCAGTGTACTTAAACATTTTAATTCAGCCCAAACTAACCTATTCCTATAAAAGCTTAGATACCTTCGTAACTACTCAAAGTAAAGTTAAATAGAAATACATATATTCATGGTAGTAAAATAAGCATGTGCGTAAGTGTTAGCAAGGTTGGGGCCTAAGAAAAGCGTATTTCTTCCTCCTTCTCTCAGAGATTTTGGGACTTTTTTCCAGGGCAATTTTAGTAACTTTGTTTTCTCAAAAATAATTACAAATAAGATAGTTGTACTGGCCATTACATTTGTGAAGCATGTTGGTGGTCCTGGACTGTTATATGTTGTGATCTAAATGCAACAATATTACAAGGGGTAAGATTAGAGAATTTTTGTAAAAGTTTTGATTAAGATCTATTTTTCTCTGCTGTGCTTAATAAAATATTGTTATTGTGCATGATCAATTGTCTTTTTGTTTTTTTGTCTTAGTTGACCAAACAAAGCAATAATGTAACTGTCTCCAAATCATTATGTTCATGGAATACTACAGTGTTTGTTCCAGAAAAAATAAGCTGTCTTGCTCAGACGCCTCAAATTTCAGTTCTCTCAGGTATGACTTTCATAATAAATGTACTGATTTATATTCTGAATGACTGCTGACGTGGCAGTTAGATTATTAATAGAAATGGTAGAGATCTGTTTATTCCTTTTAATTATTGAGCTCTGACAAATTAAAAATGTATTTGACTTCAACAGACTACTAATATTTTGCAAGATGAATATCAGAGGAGTAGCCATGTTAGTCTGAATCTGCATAAACAACGAGGAGTCCTGTGGCATCCTATAGACTAACAGATGTATTGGCTCATAAGCTTTGGTGGGCAAAAACCCACTTTGCTCACGAATGCTTATGCTCCAATAAATCTGTTAGTCTATAAGGTGCCACAGGACTTCTCGTTGTTTTTGCAAGATGAAGTCGTTACTCGGAACAGACTACAGATTGGACCTCCCTGGCTTGACTCCCTCAGGACGTGACGGATCCTGGACAAGGGAGTTTTCCAGATTAGGAAAGGACTTGTGGGTGGAGTGTCAGCCTCTCTGCTGGGCTCCTCTCCCAAGCTACCTGCCACTGCTGCCCTGGCCCCTGACTGCAACAGCCCTGCTGGCTCTGTAGTCCCACGAGAGCCAGTGGACCTACTGGGCCTGTGTGCTCTGGAGGCCCAGCAAGCCCTGGTTGATGGTGGGTTAGCCAGTTTATGGACACAAAGGATTTTACTCAATGGTTACCCAAACCAAAACCCAAGCATTGGAAACACTCAGTTTTTAGGCAACAATTACACTACTTCTGCTTGTACTGACTCTTCCATTGTTCACTTAAGATTTGCTTTAGATGATGTAGCTAGAAAGCTGAAGGAATCAGTAGAGACCATTGAAAGAAAAATAATCTCTTTATTATTACTGTAGTGTCTAAGGGTACATCTATACAGCAACATTATTTCAAAATAACTAGCATTATTTCAAAATAACTGCCTGCTGTGTATATGCGGATTAAGTTATTTTGAAATAATGTTGAAATACTGTCAAGCTGGAGGACAACTTACTCCAACTCCTGTAACCTTCATTGCAAGGGAAGTCGGAGGAAGAGTGCTCTATTTCGAAATAAGTGCTGTGTAGATGCTCCCAATTTTGAAATAAGCTATTCTGAAATAAGCTACACAATTAACATAGCTCAATTTGCATAGCTTATTTTGAGTTAAGCCCTGTTGTGTAGACACACCGAAGGAGTCCTACTTACATGCTAAGACACATTTTTGCCAGGTGCTGCAGAAACACTGAATGAGAAAACAGTTCATGCAGTGTAGATATAAGACAAGAAATATCTAATGGATACAGACAGATGGGAAACAATGAGACCATGTTGGTGTGCATGATAGATAGTGGTAACAATGGCACATGTTTCTGGAGAGTTCCTTCCCCATGCATGGGAGTGAGTCAAGATGACAAAAAGGCAGCTAGGTTGTGAATGTGGGATTCAAATGAACAGGAGAGATAGAGCTGTTTAGAAAGAATGATGGCAGCACTGAAGGAGGAGAGAACTGATTTGTAGTGGAGGAAGTCAGCCTGGTTTTGGGATTTCCATCTGAAATACAGCCGCTCCCCAAGTTGCGAACAGTTGAGTTATGACCATTCGCACTTACGACCAAAGCTCCTATGGAGCAGTCATAAAGGTGGTCCCCGAGTTACAAACGCGACCCGTGCTTACAAACAGCACGGTCACGTGTAACTCATTGGGGTCCGATTTACGAACGGATCGAATTACGGCCAAGTGTTTGGCCCATAACTCGTTTGTAACTTGGGGAGAGGCTGTACTCTGAAGGGCAAGAGCAGGATCGGAGGAAGAGGGTGTGGGGAGGAGAGCCAGGGAAGGTGAAACTTCGCAGGTGAAACTTGTGTTTGAAAGGATTGGCAAAAGAATCAAAGGTAGATCAGAGGCTGTATTTTGAATGTTTTGTACAAAAGAAGATGTGCATTTGGGGAGGGTCTCATGCAAGTGCAACCTATTGAAGTTATTAAAACTGCTTCTCTTCTCTCCCTCCCCCCCCCAAATACAGAATAGAAATATAGAAATCCAAGTACAGTAGTAGAATCTCAGGCTACGTCTACGCTGCAGGTATTTGTTGGCAGAGAGTATGCTAATGAAGCACTCATTAGCATTTGTTGTGCTGTCGTTTGCATATCTCTGCCGATGTTTTTTGCGCAAGAGGATTTTGCGCAAAAACAAGCCATGTAGACGGGTCCGTTCTGTGCAAAAACCCCTTTTGCACAAGATCCTTTATGCCTCAAAAAAGGAGGCTTGCCCTGCCCACCCAGCGCTCCGGCTGGGGAGTGAGGTTGGGAAGTAGGGGCTTCTGAGAGCAGGGTTATTCCCCCAATGGCCTGACTTAGTTCCCAGGTAGAAGCACAGGGTGGGAGGAGTAGATTGGAATGCAGGGGCATCAATTTTTCCAGGAGCATCCCATTTGGCCAGAGTCTCCGGGAATGGGCCTCGTTGTTACAGTGTCTAATTCATCACTGGCTGGGCAGCGTAGTCTTTAATCTGCTAAAATGGCTGAGCCATCCTTTCAGTTGGTGCCTCCTCTGGATTCAGTGAGAGTATAAATGAGTGTGAAGGCTGTCTGCAGAGAAAGCACCCCCTGTCCTTGCTTTCTTTTCCCACCAGCTGGGGTTTCGTCTGGACCTAGCAGATGTATTAGTGAGTGGGGAAGTGCTTCAAGGGGGCTAGTTTTTTCTTTAAAAGAGAGACATGTCAAAACATGTTAAGGTTTTGATAAAAACACTGTATAAGTATCTATTGCTGCTTTTTAAAAAAATGTAGTCCTATTTTATGGTTCAAGAATAATTCCTTATAATCTGAATTTGGTGCTTGTTTCCATTCATTTGCGGATTCAGTGTCTATAAAGATGACCTTTGAAACTAAAAAGGAAGTAAATGCAGCTCCTTAAGATGAAAGTTTAACATTTAGAATTATCCTCTTTGTCTACTAGTAATCTTTCTTGCTTGCTTGCCTACACTTATAGCACTGCCGTGGGAGAAATTCTCCCATCATCATGTGTACTCCACCTGCCTAAGAGATGATAGTGATGTTGGCTACAGAAGCCCTCCCATCAACATAGTGCTGTCTACATTGGGATCAGTTAGTATAACTGCATTGCTAAGGGATATGGAGTTTTCCATACACCTGAACTCTGTAGTTATAAGGACACAAGTCTGTAGTGTAGACTAAGCCTAAGACTCAGCCTGCCATTGAGTTTGGATGATTTGCTGAAGACTTTTTCTTTTTGACACAAAGCACAGGACTCCTCTGCCTTTTGTTGTAATCTGTATTCCTCTGCCTTATTAAACTCTTATGTACCATTCTTGCCTTAATGCAGGAGGTAGTGTAAATACTGGAGCATTGTGTATGTCGTTTTTGTTGTTTGTTTTTTCTCTGTAGAATCTCCTGAAGGTTTGTTCTTTTTAGCTCATGCGTAATTTTAAACAGTGACACATGGGAACATACTGGGACAACCAATTGCGGTTGAAATGTTTGCTAATTATACGTGGCTGGCAATGAATGGCTTACCTTACCTTACAATTAATGGTTGTATGATCTGATCAACAATAGAAACCTTTCCTGGTTGCAAGATCCTTAACATTCTGGGGTAGGAGAAGTGGTCTGGATTTCTTTTTTTTTTTTATTGAAGCTGTTCTCCAACTTATTGTTCTCAATAGTAAACTTTTATGATGACTTCCTAACGTCTCTATCCTTTACTTTTTCTAAACAGATGAGTATTCCAGGCCAGCCGTGATTGGGCATTCAGGAAATTTTAGTTCATTCCTGGACAGTACTGCAGCCATTAAAGAAATTCTTGTATCAGTTCTAAATGCATCTGATATTAAACCATCTTCACTACCAGAGAAAACTGCATTGCAGAAAACTGAAGATCCAGACAGTGATATGGAACACTTGGAGGAGGGTAGTGATGGTGATTCTAATGATGACACTGACTTAGATTATACACCTCATAATATTGCTTCTACACAAATGGACATCAGATTTGTAAGGCATAAAGCATCTTGGGATAATACCCAGTGTAATTCTTCTAAATCTTCACTGGATTCATTATCGTGCCCACTTTCTCCTGGCAGAAGTCCCATCAGTTCCACTTCAAATAGCGTCTCTTATTCAGAAATGGCTCCCCTGCAGGGTGATTACTTTACTCAAGTGACATTAACTGGAGGTACTGTGACATCATTGGCAAAATCTGCTAGTATGTGTTCAGAAAAAGAACTTAAAAACTCTCCAAGTTCACCAGACCAGCCTTTGGCTTTTAAAGGAATCTCTCCAGATTCAACAGCTAATGAGCTGTCAGCACCATTTAGAAATGTTGAGACTTCAGAACCTGTGACACTTCGAGACGAGGACAGCAGTGTTCTTCCCCTGAGCGCCCAGTCAGCACCCTCAGATCAGCAAGGTAACTTTCATTTAATCACTTTCAGTTTGATTTTTATAGTACCAGTGGATAGACCCTAGTGAAACTGGTCTCACTGTGTGGATATAATTGACAACGCAAACTCTGCCACTTGGGGCTTGTCTACATTGTAGTGTTTCAAGTGTAGACATTACCTACAGCAACAGGAGAGCCCCTCCCATCAGGGAAGGTAATCTACCTCCTCAACAGGTGCTAGTTACATCAACAGAAGAATTTTGTTGTCCTGGTGCTGTCTACACTGAGATTTAAACCGACTTCCTGTGCTACTTAGGTGTGGATTTTTTCCATCTTTGAGTGATGTAGCTGGGTCAACCTAACTTTGTATTGTAATCCAAGCCTTGGAATGGGACTTAGTAAAGATGGAGGAATAACAAATTCAGAACTTCTGTTTTTTGGGGGCAAAACCATCAATGAAACTCTGACTAGTTAACGTGTGTGTTATTTGCTTGTTGTAAGAATGCTAACTGATTCTAATTTAGTATTGAATAACTAGTAGAACAGAGGTCATTTAACTCTTAATAATGAAGGTAATGTAACTTAAGAGACTATCATCTGACTTTTTCTTATCTCAGAATTTCCCTTATGCTAAAAGCAAATAAAGTAAATCATGGTGTTTTTTTTGCTTTAGCTAATGATTGACAGATGTGCTGGAGAGGATAGGATGCCTTTGAGACCCTTATTATGTTTGACACCAAGCTGCAGACAAGAAAGAGGGATTGTTTCTCTGACTCTGTTGGGGAGTCATCTCTTCTCTGGGTACTGCTATATGCCACACTTGACTCATACCTTTTTCAGAATTTATATTACATTTTACCAAAAGGCAGGTATTGTCAATGGGATGGTGTCTTCAGATTTAAACCAAAAACATTTCATGTTGCATCCACCTTCTTCAAATTACATGAATCTTAATACTGTGGTTTATTTGCAATATGCTCATATCTTGTTCCTTTAAAAAACACATTTATTTCTACAAAAATGCGAACAGTAAGTTTGCTTGTTCCTGGGGCATGGCCTCTTAGAATTATGATAAATAACTTCTGTTTTATAGGAATCTATTTTCTCATCAGATGCTCCCCACTTCTCTTTGTGAGCACATGAACAGAATCAGGAGCATTTTATAGGAATCCCTTGCTCTAAATATAGCATGCACAACATTGCTGATGTTAAGCTTCAGTTTTTGTTTTAGTCATATGAAGAGTGCAGTCCCAGACTGGCAAAGTTTTCTATTATCAAGGTGCAGGACAAGTTGTGACTTCAGGGGCGATGGCATGATCTAGTGGACAAGGCACTGAACCAGGAATCAGACCTGTCTCTCTTTCTCTCTGCCACTGGTCTCCTGAAGGCAGGTTGCTTCATGCCCCTATGTCTCCTCCTATCTTTGTCTGTATTGTCCTTTAGAGTATAATGGGCTGCTGATTGCAACCAGGGCTGTCTCTTCCCATGTGTTGGTACAGTGCCTAGCACATTGGGGCACAATCTCAGTTCAGACCTCTGTCTGCTACTTTAATACAAATAAAGTGAGCGTGAAGGGAAAGGGTGCGTGGTGGTGGGGGGAGGCTGTACTCTCTTCTTTACGATTTAGTACAAAGATTTGAAGTGTCAGAGCCTTGGTCTTCAGAATTTGATTTTTTTTTTCCAATTTTTACTTTAGAAATTCAGGGTTGTCAAATCTTCCATACCTAGTTTTGCTGAAGCTTTCAGAGGACCCAGAAACATGGATTGGGAATCTCCTCAAGGCCTGTTCTAAAAGGCATTTAATGAGAGCTATTGACTTCAGTGTGCTTTGGATCAGGTCTTCAGTTACTAAATGAAATGGTAGAGGTCTTGAATCTTCACCAAAAATGATTCTTAGTCCAGTAATTAGTCAGGCACTTTGAATTAAATAGGTGGAGCCTTAAACAAAAGTAACAATGTGAGTAAAAGTCATCCTCAGTCCTCAGTGAATTGGGGTTCCTTTCATTGGTATAATTGTATAACTCCTCTGTTATCCTGGAAGCATAAAGTTGGTGAAGATGTGAATTTCTGGTGTGGCTATTTGGCCAGTTGAGTGTGCATTATAGCAGTAGCCACTGCAGTGGCTTCTGCTTCAGAACTGGTTGGACACCATGGTTCTAGTCTCTCCCAGTTGTAAATGGCTAATATTATGTTAATTCAAAACATGTCTTGATCCTGCAGTGAGCTCCTAAATTGGCAAATCCCACTACAGGATCAGGGACTTGAACAATAAGTTATCTGGGGGACACAGTTTCATAGCTGGGAGCAGTTGATTGGTGTGGCTGTGATGATTGCGGTTTGCTCCAGTTAGGTACTTTGTTCACTGAACCAGGTATAATGTATTTGGATTCTGTCCGGAATAAACAAGGGAAGAAACAAACTACACCCATGTTTGTAATCACATACAGCTAGTCGTGCAGGTTTGGCTAGTTTAATCCTGGCCAAGTCTCCAAACCATTTTGCCAGGGTTTGTTGTACATTAAGTTGCATGCAGCTCTCTGTCTTGTTGCTAACAATGGAGGCTTGTAGGATGGCTCATGAATCTGATGTCATTGGCTAGTGTAATGGTCACCTGGAAACAAATGCTAAAATGAATTGAGGGGAGAGGAGTGGCTAAAGATGTAAACACTTTTAAAAAGTCCTTCTCTTTGTTAATACTTTAGATCCTGCTCTTCTCCCCCTCCCCAGTTTCTCTGCAGAGGTGGGTAGGGCCCTGGAAATTTGTGGAAATCTGTATCTGTGAATGTAGATGCAAATAACTTTGGATCATTTTTGCAGCTCTTGGACTGGTTGCAGGTACAAATTTTGTATCCAGAGCCCTGCAAATCTGCTGATTCCTGCTTTATATCCTTAGACCTTCTTTGTAGATTGTGGATCGGATGCGGATACAAATTTTGTATCCACGTAAGTGTAACCCACGCATCTAGTGTGGTTCATTGTCCCATGTAATGGCACTTAGACCACTTATAGCAACAGATGAGAACAAGGGAGCTCTACAGCCTAAGCTGAGAGCCAGTTGGCTTTATAGTTCAAGCTGTAGAGCAGTGGTCTCCAACCTTTTTACACACAAGATCACTTTTTAAATCTCAGAACAGGCGAAAATCTACCACCCCGCCCCTTCCTTGAAGCCCCGCCCTCTCTATTCTCCTCCTGTCCATCACTTGCTATCCCCAGCCCTTATTTACACACTCTGATAAACAGTTTATTTTTAAATTATGTGATACATTCAATTAAAATCACGTGTTTATAGTTATGAAATAAATGGTCTGTTTTTTATTCATGCTATTTAAATCTAAAATGAAGCATTTATAATTATACATTTTGTGGGGACAGAGTACTGCGGCTGGGGGCAGAGGAGAGGGAACAGGATGCTGGGAGGGCAGAGGACAGGTTTCTGCAGCAGGGGACAGAGTGCCAGTGGGGATAGGTTTCTGCAGCTGGGGACAGGGTGCTAGTGGGGACAGAGTTCTGTGGCTCAGGACAGGGAAGTGGGG